AGCTAGCGTCTAACCGACAATCCTTCTACAGACAGCAAAGTCGCTCCATAGCCCTTGTTACTGAAAGTAGCACACCCCTTTTTCCAAAGGGTCAGAGACGGCGAAGAACCAGGAGGGGTAACAAGAGGTCGCAGATATCAAAACAAGCAGCAACCGCCAACGTACAGGCAGAGGAGTCCAGTAGTTAATCTATCATCCAGACACATCACAAAGAGTGAGTCCTGTCTCTTGTCTAATGGTCTGTCATTTTGTCCTGTATCGAGATTTAATGACTTCAACTTTGAAATAGAAATGCTCAAGTTTGAGAGGACATTGATAATCAAACAGTTCTTTCATACACAAGGACGAACTATGCCTTTCAAGCTTAAAAGCAAATTCATGCCCCCTGGACAGTACCAATCCATTGATTGCTACATACACACTCTGAAACATGATGTTCTCTCTGGCATGCCCATAAGGAGATACACTCATTTTAGTCCTGAGAATGTTAAGGCGACCATAGATTTTCCGATTTTCTTGCTGAATTATGGGCCGATAAAAAAATTGGCCGATATATTCGTACCGTTAGTGGGGAAAAATGTCGGCCGTTTTTCTTACTTTTAAGAGATTTTGAAAATCATCCAAGCTGGAAAATCCTGGGACGATTTGTTAGATCGGCCGATTTTCGTGGTAATTTATGGTCAAATTGCCGTTCTTCTGGCCGCTTTGACAATAAATTGACTATGAAGAAAAATAGAAGAAAAAAGAAATAGAATTTTTAGAGGAGAAGAAGAAATAGAATAAAGAAGATAAAAAGTTGCAAGTATCTAAGAAGAATAGAAAGAAAAAGAGAGAAGATGAAATAGATTTTGCAGAAGACGGAGAAGAAAAAAAGTTGCAACATTGTATCTATTTGTATGCATTTCGGATACAGATGTTTCAATTCAAGTACAAATAGATACAATGTTGTTTCTCTCTTCTTCTTCTTCTGCATAATCTATTTCTTCTGTCAAATATAATAGCGGGTCTCTATGCAGGGACACCGCTATTATATTAATTGACGGCCGTAGAAGGGACTAAACCTGCCGATTTATGATTTTAAAAAAAAAAAACGGCCGATTTTTCCCCACGTCTATGGCCTGTTTAATCCCAAAGGACACTTATTGTCATCAAGCCCGTGAATAAGAGTGGTGCTATTGTGTTCATTGAATATAAAAACTATAGGAAGGGGCATGTTATCAATGTTAGCTGCTCAAACTGCTAGCACAAAAAAATGGGTGACATGAAATTACCCGAGTGAGCTTTTATGCACAAACATTAACAAAATAATTTGTGAATCATTCCAATTATCTCTGGTATAGTGTCACATTCAAAGAAATAAAACACAAACCCACTTTTATGTAATAACATTGTAATAAAAAAAAGTGCAGCGCTATATGTGAATAACATGTGGTGACATGAAAAATTAAAAAACAATGGGTGACTTGCGTGAGCAAATAATTAGTGCATAATTAACAAAATAATTTGAACAATCAATCTCTTATGTATAGTGTCCAAAAATTGTAAATAAACCTGACATCAAGTGATAAGTGAATCCGTGACAATTCTTGCTCCTAATGCACATCACCAAAACATGTAATGAATGCACATTCAAAATAGAAAAACTCCTCCAGCAGGTTAACCTTATCCACTGCCCGGTACAGGTAAAAGGTATGCACAGCTTTAATTCAACAAAGACTGTTGGTTCCCCCCAGAAGGTGGCATCGATTCTCGAAAGTAAAATGGCCCACCTTGAAGGAAACGGCTTACAAAAAGAGCCAAAAGGAAAACCGCTTATGGTGCAGTAAATTTTTAAAAAAAAAAGAATCAAATGTAATCCACTTACAAAGATGGCCGCCGGACCATTGTATGGACGCGGGGGCATAACGTCAGCACGTAGGCTCTTCCCTAAGGGATGCTTCTTTATATTTTTAATAAAATTTACTGCACCGTAAGCGGTTTCCTTTTGGCTCTTTTTGTAAGCTGTTTCCTTCAAGGTTGGGCCATTTTGCTTCTGAGACTCGAGCCACCTTTTGGGGGAACCAACTGTCTTTGTTGAATTAAAGCCGTGCATACCTTTTACCTGAACCATGTGTTTAATGTTTCATCTGTCAGTGGGGTTCCCCAATGACAGATGAATGAAAAAAAAAAGAATTGCTGGCAATTAAAAAAATAATTTATAAAATGGTATGGGTCCCCCCTTCCATCCATACCAAGCCCTTCGTGTCTGGTATGGATTTTGAGGGGAACTCCCACACCAAAATATAAAAAGAAAATGGGGTCCCCCCAAAATCCATACCAGATCCTTATCTGAGCATGCAGCCTGGCAGGCAGAAAATGAGCGAGCGCCCCCCCCCCTCCTTAACCACACCAGGCCACATGCCCTCATCATGGGGGGGTTGCATTGGGGGGGCAGGCCGTGGTTGTGGGGGTCTGAGGGCAGGGGGCTTTTCAGAATCTGGATCCCGCCCCCACCATGTGAATGAGTATGTGTTACATGGTCCCGCTACTACTCATTCACAAAAAAACAAAAAGTGTAGTGTGAAAAAAGACAAGTCCTTTATTAAATGAAAAAAACTAAAAGAATTTCCCCGCAATAGATCCAACATCAATCACGATGCCCGCCACCAACCCGAACAAAGAATTAAAAAAAAAAAAGGCACCACTCCCGACAGTGGCTCCCAGCTGTCTGCCTCTGAGACTGGCTTGACAGTTCTTAAATATGTAAGGGGCATGGCCACCCAGTGACATCACACATGTGGCCCCACCTCCTTTATGACATCATTGACCCAGCATGCCCTGGTTGATGACGGTGTTAAAGGGGGCTTCCAGATTCCGATAAGCCCACTGCCCGCAGACCCCCACAACCACCAGCCAGGGTTGTGGGGAAGAGGCCCTTATCCCCGTCAACATTTCCTTTCGTGGCCCTGGACATTCTTCCCAAATGGGACTGTGTGTATAATTTTGCTCATCAGCACCTGCAGTCAATCAGCTGTAATGCTGATCAATGTATTCTGGCAGGAGGGAAGTCCCACCTGCCAGAATACAATAGTGCAGTGGGGGAATTCCCCCATTCACCTTGAATGTGTGGATGGGGGTAATTGGTTGTTCTTTTTAATGATAAACTGGCTGGATGATGAAAAAAAAATGTCCTTCTGTGGCCAGCTTTAGTTTTATATGTTTTTGTGATGCACATTGGACATTCTGCAATCTCCGAACTGTCCCTCATTTGGAAGGGATGTCCCTCTTTTTGAACCCAATCCCTCTGCCCCCCCTGCAGCCTCAGTTGTCCCACTTTTTAGTCTGATGCATAGGTATTCAGGACTGCTGTTAGAAATCATGGGGCACACTGTACAGCCTACTTGACTTTGCGCCCCCCCACCCTGCAAAAATATCAAATGATATCTTCACTAAAATGCCATTGGTCGCAATGCTGTGTTTCGCAGCCTTGGCAGAAATTATAATCCCATCGAACAAGACCTATTGAAATGAATAGCCCTGCTCTGTATTCTCCCTGAAATCATGTATGGTGCACTCTTGTGCAGGGTTAAAGCAGGCAGTGAGGAGACAATATACCTCCTCACTGCCTGTCAAATACTGTCTGAAAAGTGATCTAAAAGCTCTATTTGTGGGAAAAAAAGGACATCAATTTCATTTGGGTCCAGTGTTGCATGACCCGCGCAATTGTCAGTTAAATAGTTACGCAGCACCGTATTGTAAAAAAATGGCCTCTGGAGGGCAAGTGGTTAATTATGAAATGAACTTTAACCTTTAATACCAAACAGAACCACTGTTAACCATTACCAGACCACATCAAGCTTAGTCACTAAGACTCAAGCAGCAGTATCTTATACCAACCAAATAACCGTTTACCATCCACTGTCCACCCACAAAATGGACAACATTGCCCAAACAATCACTCTACAATCCAACATTCAAAATGCCCCTACCAGTATCTGAGAAAATGTATCAAAAAACATACCTCCCAAATTTCTGAAATTATAAAGAGGGACATCCTTTCACACACAGTAAATAGCAAAGGACATGTCCCCAGTTACAGGGACCTCAAAGATCTAACATGAAGAAAATGATTGGCAGCATAACACTTTTGACAGTAAAATAGTTACCTTTCGTATAGAGAATATACACAAAACCAAAAAGATTGACAACTGAAGCTAAATGAGGGACAGAAGAATTTGGTCTCAAAGGAGGGGACAATTGGGGACGCTATGCCAAATACTGCTAAACCTCTGATGAAACTCTCCAGTTTACAATAGAGAAAAAGTGAAGTTACCAATAATGAGTATACAGTAAATCAGCATATCACTCCATTCACATGTTATGGTAACTTTACAATGAACTGAAGCCCAGGCTTAGAAAACCACTTATTTGTGGACAGAACAGTTACCATTTTTATTTAGAATGTCTAAGATTTGAATCAACCCAAATCATTTCCTTCCAGGATGAACGACAAAGATATCCAACACAGATCACAGTTGCAAATAGGGAATATGAGCAGCCAGCTATCCAAATACTTACCCCATATACCCTGCAAGAGAACGGTCATTTTAATAGGAGGAAAAATAAAATCATTCGCACCAGAAAACATAGGAATGTCAACTATTCATACTATTATTTTTTTTTGTATTAATAATTATAAAAGACGGGGCTTGTGTAATAAATGCAAAGAGCAAGATAACGTATGCCTATTGTGGCAGTGTGGCAATCTGTCACCCTGGATTCTCAACAAGGCAGGTTGAGGGGCTCCAGGGTAAGTGTTTGATACGGAGGAAAGTGGCTTTTCACTTTCCTCCTTTGTTTGTAAGGTCTGTTTTGGGATCTGGAGCCTGGAGATTTCAAAGAGATCTGGGAGGGATGAAATCTCCAATCCTGGGACCAGGTTTTGGGAATGGCCAGGAGACTGATTGCACAGGTGTGTATGGGCCTTTTCATAGATTCAGGACCAGGGTTCTGGGCTCCACCCCGGCAGATAGGAGTCAGGTGGGCTTCACCTAGGAGAGGTGGAAGTCAAAAAGCAGCAAGGGGCTGCTAGAGACTAGCTGTGTGCTAGTGGCCAGTGGTGTGCAAGAGCCATGTCTTGAAGAAGTCTGCAGGAGACAGACATCAAGCTGAGTATAAGCCAGGAGGCTGAATCGTTGTTTTGTGTGATGGTGGATACCCCTGTGTGGGAAACTTCTGTTATTGAACTGTCATTTAAATAAAAGTGGGCTAAAAAAGGCCTTAAAAAAGAAAGCGAGTAGCTGTGTGCGGTTAAAAGCTCTACCACTTTGAAGCGAGTTCCCACACTATCTACATCTTGATGTACTGCTCATGTAGCAGCTGCATATCCTGCAGCATCATCAACATCTTTCAAGGACAGATTTAAGTTACAATTCTGATAAAAGAAAGCCATTCACATGCAAACAAAAAAAAAGAAAGTCCTTGCGAATAGTTAAAATTGTGAAATCAGCTCTGTTGGGCAATGTGAATGGCCTAAGGCATGAAATGATAACTGCCTATCCTTGTCTTGCTAATCCTAATTATGCAAACACTTCTGTCTAGCAAAGTAACAACATACATCAACTAACCAGACTGAACTGAGTGGGAGCGCAGTTCTGGAGTGTTCTATGTGCAGAAGAACAGATTGATTTCATAGCAATAGCGATATTACATGACACGTTGAATGCAATTTGTGACCCAATAGCAGCATGTAAACATAGCTTCTAAAGCCCTTTTAGGGACAAGAATTATATGCAAAGGCATTGCGTCTCTTTCTAAAAAGAGAAGGGAGAATGTCACCAAGCACACCGGGGATCACCAATATGGGTTCAAAAGTTTTAATGAACGATCACATAATACAAGGCAACGTTTTGGAGTCTCACAAGACCCCTTCATCAGGCATGTGTGTTGGAATTACCGACACTAGATATAGAAAATCAGACCTCTGCTTTGTAGGAGATTGACATAGAGATCGCCACATACACCATAAGAGAGAAGCAGTCTAAAAGAGACAAATTTAAACAGGTAAACCAGGATTACCAAGAAGGCAGAGTTTATCCATGGTTAACTGAGACCTCTAGGCCCAGGACATTATGTACTCGACCCCTACCCCAGAAGCCAACAAAAGGAAGCCCCCACATTTCATCTGAGAGCGAGCGTCTAACCGACAATCCTTCTACAGACAGCAAAGTCGCTCCATAGCCCTTGTTACTGAAAGTAGCACACCCCTTTTCCAAAGGGTCAGAGATGGCGAAGAACCAGGAGGGGTAACAAGAGGTCGCAGATATCAAAACAAGCAGCAACCGCCAACGTACAGGCAGAGGAGTCCAGTAGTTAATCTATCATCCAGACACATCACAAAGAGTGAGTCCTGTCTCTTGTCTAATGGTCTGTCATTTTGTCCTGTATCGAGATTTAATGACTTCAACTTTGAAATAGAAATGCTCAAGTTTGAGAGGACATTGATAATCAAACAGTTCTTTCATACACAAGGACGAACTATGCCTTTCAAGCTTAAAAGCAAATTCATGCCCCCTGGACAGTACCAATCCATTGATTGCTACATACACACTCTGAAACATGATGTTCTCTCTGGCATGCCCATAAGGAGATACACTCATTTTAGTCCTGAGGAATGTTAAGGAGACCATAGATTTCCGATTTTCTCTTACTGAATTATGGGCCGATAAAAAAATTGGCCGATATTCGTACCGTTAGTGGGGAAAAATGTCGGCCGTTTTTCTTACTTTTAAGAGATTTTGAAAATCATCCAAGCTGGAAAATCCTGGGACGATTTGTTAGATCGGCCGATTTTCGTGGTAATTTATGGTCAAATTGGCCGTTCTTCTGGCCCGCTTTGACAATAAATTGACTATGAAGAAAAAGAAGAAATAGAAGAAATAGATTTTGCAGGAGAAGAAGAAATAGAATATCAAGAAGAAGAATAGAAGAAAAGAGGAGAAGATGAAATAGATTTTGCAGAAGACGGAGAAGAAAAAAAGTTGCAACATTGTATCTATTTGTATGCATTTCGGATACAGATGTTTCTATTCAAGTACAAATAGATACAATGTTGTTTCTCTTCTTCTTCTTCTGCATAATCTATTTCTTCTGTCAAATATAATAGCGGGTCTCTATGCAGGGACACCGCTATTATATTAATTGACGGCCGTAGAAGGGGACTAAACCTGCCGATTTATGATTTAAAAAAAAAAAACGGACGATTTTCCCCACGTCTATGGCCTGTTTAATCCCAAAGGACACTTATTGTCATCAAGCCCGTGAATAAGAGTGGTGCTATTGTGTTCATTGAATATAAAAACTATAGGAAGGGGCATGTTATCAATGTTAGCTGCTCAGCTGCTAGCACAAAAAAAGACAACCCACTTTTATCCTCACAAACATGTAATAAAAAGAAAGTGCAGCGCTATAGTGAATAACATGGGTGACATGAAAAATTAAAAAACAATGGGTGACTTGCGTGAGCAAATAATTAGTGCATAATTAACAAAATAATTTGAACAATCAATCTCTTATGTATAGTGTCCAAAAATTGTAAATAAACCTGACATCAAGTGATAAGTGAATCCGGTGACAATTCTTGCTCCTAATGCACTCACCAAAAACATGTAATGAATGCACATTCAAAATAGAAAAACTCCTCCAGCAGGTTAACCTTATCCACTGCCCGGTACAGGTAAAAGGTATGCACAGCTTTAATTCAACAAAGACTGTTGATTCCCCCAGAAGGTGGCTCGATTCTCGAAATAAAATGGCCCAACCTTGAAGGAAACGGCTCACAAAAAGAGCCAAAAGGAAACCGCTTATGGTGCAGTAAATTTTATTAAACTATAAAAAAGAATCCACGTGGAGCATAAAAACAAATGATAATCCACTTACAAAGATGGCCGCCAGACCATTGTAATGGACGCGGGGCATAACGTCAGCACGTAGGCTCTTCCCTAAGGGATGCTTCTTTATATTTTAATAAAATTTTACTGCACCGTAAGCGGTTTCCTTTTGGCTCTTTTTGTAAGCTGTTTCCTTCAAGGTTGGGCCATTTTGCTTCTGAGACTCGAGCCACCTTTTGGGGGAACCAACTGTCTTTGTTGAATTAAAGCCGTGCATACCTTTTACCTGAACCATGTGTTAATGTTTCATCTGTCAGTGGGGTTCCCCAATGACACAGATGAATGAAAAAAAAAGAATTGCTGGCAATTAAAAAAATAATTTATAAAATGGCATGGGGTCCCCCCTTCCATCCATACCAAGCCTTCGTGTCTGGTATGGATTTTGAGGGGAACTCCCACCAAAATAAAAAGAAAATGGGGTCCCCCCAAAATCCATACCAGATCCTTATCTGAGCATGCAGCCTGGCAGGCAGAAAATGAGCGAGCGAGCCCCCCCCCTCCTTAACCACACCAGGCCACATGCCCTCAACATGGGGGGGTGCATTGGGGGGGCAGGCAGCCGGTGGTTGTGGGGTCTGAGGGCAGGGGGCTTTTCAGAATCTGGATCCCGCAGCCCCACCATGTGAATGAGTATGGGGGTACATGGTCCCGCTACTCATTCACAAAAAAAAACAAAAAGTGTAGTGTGAAAAAAGACAAGTCCTTTATTAAATGAAAAAACTAAAGAATTTCCCCGCAATAGATCCAACATCAATCACGATGCCCGCCACCAACCCGAACAAAAGAATTAAAAAAAAAAAAGGCAAGGCACCACTCCCGACAGTGGCTCCCAGCTGTCTGCCTCTGAGCTGGCTGACAGTTCTTAAATATGTAAGGGGCATGGCCACCCAGTGACATCACACATGTGGCCCCACCTCCTTGTGACATCATTGACCCAGCATGCCCTGGTTGATGACGGTGTTAAAGGGGGCTTCCAGATTCCGATAAGCCCACTGCCCGCAGACCCCCACAACCACCAGCCAGGGTTGTGGGGAAGAGGCCCTTATCCCCGTCAACATTTCCTTTCGTGGCCCTGACATTCTTCCCAAATGGAACTGTGTGTAATAATTTTGCTCATCAGCACCTGCAGTCAATCGGCTGTAATGCTGATCAATGTATTCTGGCAGGAGGGAAGTCCCACCTGCCAGAATACAATAGTGCAGTGGGGGAATTCCCCCATTCACCTTGAATGTTGTGGATGGGGAATTGGTTGTTCTTTTTATGATAAACTGGCTGGATGGATGAAAAAAAATGTCCTTCTGTGGCCAGCTTTAGTTTTGATTATGTTTTGTGATGCACATTGACATTCTGCAATCCTCCTCGAACTGTCCCTCATTTGGAAGGGATCGTCCCTCTTTTTTGTGAACCCAATCCCTCTGCCCCCTGCAGCCCTCAGTTGTCCCACTTTTTAGTCTGATGCATAGGTTATTCAGGACTGCTGTTAGAAATCATGGGGCACTGTATCAGCCTACTTGACAGCGCCCCCCCCCACCCTGCAAAAAATATCAAATAGATATCTTCACTAAAATGCCATGGTCGCAATGCGCTGTGTTTCGCAGCCATTGGCAGAAATTATAATCCCATCGAACAAGACCTATATGAAATGAATAGCCCTGCTCTGTATTCTCCCTGAAATCATGTATGGGTGCTCTTGTGCAGGGTTAAAGCAGGCGAGTGAGAGAGACAATATACCTCCTCACTGCCTGTCAAATACTGTCTGAAAAGTGATCTAAAAGCTCTATTTGTGGGAAAAAAAGGACATCAAATTTCATTTGGGTCCAGTGTTGCATGACCGCAGCAAATTGTCAGTATAAAAGTTACGCAGCACCGAATTGTAAAAAATGGCCTCTTGGAGGGCAAGTGGTTAATGTATAGAAATGAACTTTAATCCTTTAATACCAAACAGAACCACTGTTAACCATTACCAGACCAACAAGCTTAGTCACTAAGACTCAAGCAGCAGTATCTTATACCAACCAAATAAACCGTTTACCATCCACTGTCCACCCACAAAATGGACCAACAGGTTGCCCAAACAATCACTCTACAATCCAACATTCAAA